GGAGAAAACAGGGAAGTATATTTCTTTGAAATTAAAAAAAAATGAGAGGGCTACCTATTGACAATTATACCATACCCCTTCCTAACAAAATAAAAACACAAATCCTATTTAAAGGGATTCTGTCTGAGAAACTGCAGAATCACAGAGCAACATGTCTTATATACGTCATGGAAATGCAGCAGAAGACTTCAACAATGCAATCACAAGCAAAACTGATTATAGCTAAAATTATCTGGCATACACAATTTTTCAAAACATCTTTAGCATACCCCATGACCAAAAATAATTCTAGAGTTAACAGCTGTTATGAATGAACTGAATAAAAGGTTAAATCAGTTTCCTGGGCAACTTCTGAATGAGATAATATAAGGCCAACTTGGTGATTTTTATCTGGAAAGTTTTATTGAAAAATTTATATATTTTTCACAAGTTTATACAGTTTAGGAGGTACGTATAAATTCACCATTAACAATAGAGTCAAACACAAACTATAAGCTAAGTACATACAATATGCATAGTTATTCATTTATTTGGAGCCTTTATAATTCCACTTGGAATTACAAAAACCATAAATTCCAGGATCACTACTAAAGAGAAGTGCTTTTCTACACAATAAACAATCTCAAACAAAACTGGAAACTTTAACTTTCCCTAAGCTTCAATGACATGTCACCAATTCCTTCACTACCAAACTTCATTGACAAGCGCTTGAAACATGAACAGGAATTGACCTTCCCCCACCAAAACAAAACAGTGAGTCCTGTATTAGGACAAATATGTAATTTCCTTGCCACAGAACAAAATAAAAGCAATGATATTTATTTTATTTTGTTTTCAGACCATCTCTAAAATCATAAAAATTAAAAACATGATACACTTACCAGCAATTTAATGAACAATCCTCTAGAGATTTCAATTTAGGGTTAAGGTATACCTGTCAAATGTATGAGACTGGTTTGTTTGATCAGAGTGGTTAAATTATTTGTGAATGTGACTGTAAGAGGAAAAAAGCTTTAAAAGAAACCTTTTATTCCTGGCAAATAAAAAATCATCCAACTCAACAGGCAAATGTAAACCATATCGACATGACCATTCTTGCTGTCTTCTGTACTCTTGCCTCCAGTGACAGTAGGTTCATAGTGCCTCAGAACGCCGCAAACAATACTTAAGCATATATTTTTTAAAGCTATTAAGTAATCTCTACACCCCACGTAGTGCTCAAATTCACCACGCTGAGATCAAGAGTCACGTGCTTTTTCGACTGAGCCAGCCAGGCGCTCCAATACTTAAGCATGTTGGTGGCATGTCAAGCTATCTACAAAACGCTGTGGCTGTCTCCCACTTCCCTTCTAACAGACAAGGTGAATGAAAGGGGTGGTAGCTTTACGACATTAATGAGAAAGGTCAAAAGCTGAAACAGATTCACTTTTATTTATTTATTTTTAAAGATTTTATTATTTGAGAGAGAGAATGAGAGAGAGAGCAAGAGGAGGGGAGGGTCAGAGGGAGAAGCAGACTCCCTGCAGAGCAGAGAGCCTGATACAGGACTCGGTCCCAGGACTCCAGGATCATGACCTGAGCCGAAGGCAGTAGCCTAACCAACTAAGCCACCCAGGCACCCGAAACAGATTCAGTTTTAAAAAGAAGTCCTATCAAATCTTACTTCATCTCAGATCTTACATTATCACGAAGATTATGATTTCTTGCTTATAATTCAATCGCTATTTTGTATATATGTGCAAACAGTTTGTAACCTGCAAAAAGATGTATCAAATATTAGCTATTTTTACTTAGTAAGAGTTCAGATTCTAGGGCACAAAGTAAATTTGCCTAGGTCATATTGCAGAGACTCATAATATGCACAATTATTAAGAGACAGAATTAGGCTTGAAATTTTGTGCCTCTGAAGCTCAAATCACCATGTTATACTGCCACTGAAAATCTGACGTGAATATAATTCAGCTAATGTCAGTGCTGAACAAGTAGATGTCTAAGTGTTAAGATGGAAAATGCAAATTGCATACTCACATTTGATTGACATGATAGGACAAATGTGAAATGGTGCCATAAAAACTACAGAGAACAACTAAATTTCATGAGTAAGGAAAATAAGTATTTAAAATAAACCCCACCCTTTTTTTATAAATTGTCCAAGCTGTTCTAGCTTTGGGTTAATTTCCATGAACAGATAAAAGAAATACAGCTTTATTCTGGCACCATGATTTTCACAGCAATAATAAAGAACAGTCTCTGGCAAGTTACAGAATTTCGAATGCTATAAAGAGTCAACTTTCAAAGTCCAGACAACAGACATGTACCTATACATGACGTCTAATAAAGGCAATTCTCCTCCTGAAAAGTACACCAAATATTTATTTATTTATTTATTTATTTTTAAAGATTTTATTTATTTATTTGACAGAGATCACAAGTAGGCAGAGAGGCAGGCAGAGAGAGAGGAAGGGAAGCAGGCTCCCTGCTGAGCAGAGAGCCCGATGCGGGACTCGATCCCAGGACCCTGAGATCATGACCTGAGCCGAAGGCAGCGGCTTAACCCACTGAGCCACCCAGGCGCCCTACACCAAATATTTAAATCTCTTTTACCTTAATCTACATTTTCTGCCTTTGAGATCTTTTATATTCTTCTAAGGTAGAAATCTGGAAAGCCAATTCTGGACCTTGACTTCCTTCTCCAAGCCTATTACAATCCTGGCTGTGCCAGTACCTGAGGCACTAGAACAGAGTGTGCCATAACCTATGACCTTTAGTAGAAACTAGTATTTCTAAAAGCTTTACTGGACAGGTTAATCAAGACAAAGCTTTTCCTACAGGACATCAAGCAACCACTTCTTTTACTTTTTCAAAGTCTCTAAAACCAAGATGAGCTTGGTGAAAGAATGTGAAGCTGAAGGTTGAATCAACACCAGTAGATTTTTTAAACAATCAAGTCGATTCTTAAATATCCATTTTAAATAGGTTAAACTGTGGAGTAACAAATTTCATCTTATCTTCATAATGCAGAAGCCTACGACATTTCCTGAGGTATGGAGAAAATATTCTGCAGGGAAGAAGAGCTTCTCCAATGAATGGTAATGACACGTTGCAGGATCTTAAGCTAAAGTTTTCAAGTAGTGAGGCCCACCAAAACCATATTAATGCTTTTAAAATAATATTAATACACATCTGCAATAGGTAAGAATTTAAGACACAGTATCCATTTTGCAGGTGAACCAAAAAGTTATAATCAGGAAGAATCAAAAGCTGTGTACCAAAGGGCCAACAACCAAACGGTAAGCAACGACAAGTGATTAAATCCAAAACACCAAGTTGCTAAGTTATAGGGAAGCTGCTGTTCATCTGGACCTTTGCCCAGAACATGAAAATTTGGAGGAGAAACGCTGGTGGTTTAAAGGGAAGAAGAGTTCTAAATTTGCTGCCTCATTCCTTTATCTGGGCAGCTAATCTTGACCTTGCAGAAGCTTCCTTTGATACTGTTTCTACTGAAATGGCCAAAACCACACTGGAAAATCCAGCAGGGTACCAAAGCTTTGTAGAAATCCACTGTTAAAAAACACCTAGAGAAAAAGGGGTGCCTGACTGGCTCAGTTGGTGGAGCATCCAACTCTTGATCTTGGGGTTGTGAGTTTGAGCCCCACCTTGGGTGTGATTACTTAAAAAAACAAAACAAAACAAAATCCAAACACTTAGAGAATATATTTAAAGCAAAGATCAGAAATTCTACATTCCTTACATCAACCTAAGATTCTGGCAAAGGAGACAGTGAAGTATTTTAAAATCCCTCAAAATCCTTTAAGGTAACTAAATACAGGGCAGAATTATCTGTACTCTCCCAGGCTTATGGCCCACTTCTTTGACAAAAAGGTTTTTTTCTTTTCTTCAAAGATTGAGTTCCTTTAAGAACCACCACCTGCTCATGGTGCATTTTTTTTCCCCCCTCAAGAAGGCATCTGCACTGCAGATCTCTGCACGAGGGGAGTTGGAGCTTGCCAGCCAGCTCCCACCAGCAGGCTAACGCGTATACAATGGAAACTAAAAGCGGCCTGCAGCTTCGCTCCTAGCCTTTCACACGGATAGGAGAATGGGGTTCAACCAGCTCCTGCTTTGTCTAATTTTTCTCCCCCTTCCCCCTCTCTGCGCTAAACACCCCCTTTTGTTACATTGCGGTCAATAATAGCCCAGAGAGAGCATGAAATCAAAATGTGTTGATGGCTTGGCATGACTCTATTATCTTCGGGAATATAAGCAACTGATTGCTTGTCCCCACCCCCACGCCGCGCCAGTGAAGAGCAGGCTGTGTTGCAGATGCAGCCACGGATCCATCTTGGACCATCAGCTGCTCCCTCCCAAATCTTCCCTGAGCTATTCTCATCACGCCTCCTCTTACCTCTTAGCCTCAGAAAAGCGGACATTTAGAGTCTAGCCACAAAAAAACAAAAACAAAAACAGTATAAGCAGATAAAAAAAGAAATATAGAAAACGGCTACAATGTTTCCATCAAACTTCCTGATCCTCCCCACGGAAAACGAAAAAAAAATTTTTTTTTGTAAGACTACCATGAATTTCCGATTATGTCAACATCTGCCTGCAAACCTGCAATGCAACCCTTTCACCATCATCCCTTCAAAATCGTAGCTAGTGCTTTCTCCTACAACCAACCCGCCCCAATCCTCTCAATCTCTCTAATCCTCCACTAAATCACCCCGGTTCAGCGGACCGCTCCCCCGGACTGGTGTTTTTCCCCACCTGCCCTGCCTCGGTGTTAACGCCCACTCCCCAGAATATCTCCCCGCCCCCAACCTGTTTGCCTCACACCCCGTTATTTCCTCACCGCCTGCACCACCTTACGCTCCCCTCCCCCTTAGCACATTTTCCAGACGCTCGCTCCCGGGGGCTGAAGCCTCCGACAGGAGAGGGTGATTTACCTTCCCCGACCCCAAAAACAACCCCCTCGAGGGCGGGGTTCCCCCGGCGCGCCTCACCCGCACAGGAGGAGCCGCAGCTCTTCGCCCCCAGGGCGGGGCAGGATCCAGGGCTCCCGCCACCGGGCGCCGAGGGTTCGGCCCCGGAGGACGACGAGGAGACGGACGGGGATTGAGTGGCCGCCGACGGCTCCGCCATGGCTGCGCGAGCAAGGGCAGGAAAGGGATGAAGAGAGATGCGGGGCGGGAGAAAGGGAGGGGAAAGAAAATAATCAAGCAGCTGGCTCTCAGAAGTCCCTTCGCTCCTCCTGCTCCGAGGACAGACTCCAACAGACTGACTGACTCAGCCGAGCGCAGCAAGAGGGCGGGAGCGCGAGCGCGCAGGCGCACAAAGCGCTCTCGGGCGGGCGGCGGTCGCGCCTAGGCGCCCAGCTACGCAGGGCGCAAGCGCAAGAGCTGTCCCTCCGCGCTCCGGCGGGGAAGGAGGGGCAAAACTGGCCTCACGCTGCGTCCGCGCGAGAGGCCGGGCTGGGCCGCGCCCCTCCGGGAACCAGACGCAAGGGGCGTGGCCAAGTACCAAGTTCCGCCCACCACTGCGGCCAAAGTGGGAGGGGGCCCTGCAGGTTAGTGTCTCTTTACACGTCTTTTGTGAATGTTTTAGGGTCGGCGGATTGTGTGTTTTAACGATATTAGTTTTTTTTTGCTTCCACTACCTGGAGTATGTCTTTCCCATAAATTCCAGAGCAGATGTCTATTGTCTGTTGCGTTTCTGCCTGTGACGCCAATGAAAAGTGAAAACCACAATGTGGGTAGGCCCACTCTGCAGGGTGCCTTATGCATTTTTCTGGATGTGTCGTAATATCACCCTGAGGCGGAGATGGCACTGTTTCCCATTTGGTAGGTGGAGCAAGATGCTATACAGAATGAAAAACTATTACTCATTCCAGTCACATTGCAATGCAGCCGCAGAACCTGCTTCATATTCTTAGGTTGTTTCTGTTCCCAAAGAGGGGTCCATCTTGGGTCTTAAGGTTTTCCTTTCCTCCAAATAGGCTATCCGGTAAAGAAGATATATTTTGAAGGAAAAAATAGCTGAGCCAATGAGAAAAAGGAGAGCCAAGAGATAACATCCTGGCTGCAGTTATGGAGGAGGGTAAAATGAGGTATTAAAAATTGAGAATATGGCACAAAATACACATAATTGAATTTTATTTATAGCCTAGATGGAGTCCTTAGCAGAGAATTTATTTGAACCAGATATCTAGCTTATACTGAATTTTGTTCTTTTTTGTTTTTTGTTTTTTTTGTTTTTGGTTGGAGTGTGAAATAGAAAGCCTTCTCTACACACCTGGTTAAAATATCTGAATATGCATAATTCTTTTAGAAAGGGGAACATAAACTGGAAATGACCACAATCAAAACCATAAGCCTTATTATTGCTAAAGCAGCAATCAATGACCTGAAGGGCAATTCCAAGATAGGCAGACCTGTAGAGATGCAGTGAAGGGGGAGGTAGTGAGCCAGGCAGCAACCCAGAGAAAAAGGGATCTGACCAGTGGAAATCTTCTAGAACAGGAAGTGGATTACATCTGCCCTTGACAGTTTTTAAGATCAGATAAAGTTCAGATAGGAAAAAAAAACTAGCCATCGCAGGGCTCTGAAAAAAAAAAAAAAAAAAAGGCACAGAAGATATTTCCCAAAATAACTTCATGGCAAATATCTTACTCTGACCCTCACAGCATCCGTTGGCAATGCAGCAATCTGTCCTTTGGATGACAAAGGGAAATACAAGCCGATCTGATAACCAAGCCCGTTATCTACTCATTCTAATAAATGCAAAAGCTTAAAAAACGTATGTTATTAGGAGCTGGATAAGGAAATCAACGATGCTGCTCCCTAGCCCTGACAGCGATTGCTAGGATCTCAAGACCCTCCTCGGAAAGGAAACCTGTTTTCATGGTAACTAGAAGCAAAGAAAAGAGCTAAAAATCAAGACACTGATGTTGTCTTGGTGGTCCTTTCATACTCTTAAGATTTTTTACATCAGAGGCCTTGTGCTAGGTCCAGTTCCTGAAGCTACCTTTCCTTCCTGCTCCCTCTTGCTATACCAGTAAACTTCCCTGAGACTGACTCTTGCTTGAGATGTTATTTGTATATATGGTTTGTTCCATGTTTACTGGTCACATGCTGAGTGAACGACACTCTCCTGGGAAATTTGGAGGAATCCAAAGAATGTTTGTCCTGTCTTCAATGAGCTTACAAGCTAGTTGGGGCTTAAAACATACTCACATAAAAATAAAAATTATAACAACCAAAACAACCCCCAGCAACACAAAGCTATGTTGTTCTGTTTTAGATGGCAAGTGAATTGTATGAATTTAAAGGGAGAGGGAATCACTATGGAGTTGTAGTGGCTTGGGGAGGTTTTATGAAGGAGCACGAAGTCAGATGGGAGTTTGGAATGGTAAGGAGGTCACTATAGGCAGAGGAGAATGGTATGAATCAAATGCCAGGGGCTGCTTTTTTGCAAGTGTACGATAAGACCTCCTTCTGGGCAGACCAGTCACAGAAGAGCACCCCTTTCTCCCAGCCCAACCCATGATGCACTTCAATCAATGCTGGCTTGTTTAGCAGAACTTGGCCTAGATTTGATCCCCTCTTGCCCCTCCCCTCCATGGGCTGCCTTAGACCTACACATAGACTGCACAGCCATCTGTGGCGGCTGGAGGATCTGCAGCATGACCCCGTGTAAGGGGTTTTGGGTGTGGTTAGCCCAGGTTGGCTAGAGCCAAGGGCTAACAAGAGGGAGAGAAAATGGGGAAGATGCCTTGGGGCCAGAGTGTGGAAAAGCAGTAATAGAGCACTAAGGAACTGAGGCTTCCTTTTTTTTTTTTCTTTTTGGTGCAAAAAGGTGATTTCAGGGGTGCCTGGGTGGCTCAGTGGGTTAAGCCACTGCCTTCGGCTCAGGTCATGATCTCAGGGTCCTGGGATCGAGCCCCGCTTTAAAAAAAAAAAATGTGATTTTATTAAAGCATGGGGACAGGACCCATGGGCAGAAGGAGCTGCTGCTTGAGGCTTCCTTTTTTTTTTTTTTCTTTAAAGATTTTATTTATTTATTTGACAGAGATCACAAGTAGGCAGAGAGAGAGAGAGAGAGAGAGAGAGAGAGAGAGAGGAGCAGGCTCCCTGCCGAGCAGAGAACCCGATGCGGGACTCAATTCCAGGGTCCCAAGATCATGACTGAGCCGAAGACAGCGGCTTAACCCACCGAGCCACCCAGGTCCCCCTTGAGGCTTCCTTTTAAGGCTAATGGGGATTCAGTGAATGTTTACAGGTAGGGCAGGGCTCAGATGGGATTTTTAAAGTGCTCACTGGAGCATAGCAACTTCTCAGTTCTGTGGAGCAGTTTCTACTGGTGAGGCACTGGGCTGGGCCTCTTCTTCCTTGCCCCTGTCCTTATAGGACTGGTATTTACACAGCTAATTTCCCCCCTCAGTTTCTGGGCCATCTCATTATCCCATCTTTTTCTTAACTATTAGAAAAAAATATTTTTAATTAAAAAAATATCTTCAAATATACTTATATAAATATGTGTGTGTATATATATGTATATACATATTCACATATAGATGAGTGTATATATACCTTGAAGTTTTCTTCTGTTATTAACCCCTCTCCTGCTCCTAGTCTCCCCCTCTGCACACTCATAGGTAAGTACCGTTAGGAGCTTTTTGTGGCAAATGCAAAGATGAATATAACAAATCTTTATCCTTGTTCACTCTTTTTTTTAAAATTTTTTTAAAGATTTTATTTATCTGAGAGAGAACAAGAGAGAGAACATGAGTGGTGGGAGGGGCAGAGGGAGAAGCAGACTCTGCTGAGCAGGGACACCAGCCCACCTCCCCCATGCGTGTCTCGATCCCAGGACCCTGGGATCATGACTTGAGCCAAAGGCAGACACTAAACCAACTGAGCCACCCAGGTGCCGCCTCCTTTACTCTTTTTATTTTATTTTATTTATTTATTTTTAAAGATTTTATTTATTTATTTGACAGAGAGAGATCACAAGTAGACAGAGAGGCAGGCAGAGAGAGAGAGAGAGAGAGAGAGGGAAGCAGGCTCCCTGCTGAGCAGAGAGCCCGATGCGGGACTCGATCCCAGGACCCTGAGATCATGACCTGAGCCGAAGGCAGCGGCTTAACCCACTGAGCCACCCAGGCACCCTCCTTTACTCTTTTTAACAGAAATGATAGCATGCTATACATAGATATGTTGCTTCCTTTCCTTAATAGTAAATTCTAGTGATCTTTTCTAGTATCCTTTTGAAGAGGCAGAGAGACACGCTGTTAACATGAACAATAATGAAGGAGCTGGTAGGTCTTGCAGTCTTAGTGTGTTACCTCCATGTTGAGGGCCTGATATTCCAACTTTATAACAGTCTGTGAGTTTGGATTGGCTATTTTTTTTTTCTTTTCTTTCTTTCTTTTTTGTTTTTCAGAGAGAGGCAGGGGAGGGGCAAAGGGAGAGGGAGAGAATCTTGAGCAGGCTCCATGCCCAGTGCGGAGCCTGACTTGACTCAGGACTTGGTCTCACGGACCCCAAGACTCCAGATGCCCAGCTGGGCATCATTTAAATATTTGTATATTAAATATTTAATATATTTCTGTTCTGTGTATAGAATGAGCTATTTACTTGGTGTCATAGTTTATAAAAAGAAAATAGTCGGGCTGCCTGGGTGGCTCAGTCAGTTAAGCATCTGACTCTTTTTTTTTTTTTAAATATTTTATTTGACAGACAGAGATCACAAGTAGGCAGAGAGATAGGCAGAGAGAGAGAGGAGGAAGCAGGCTCCCTGCGGAACAGAGAGCCCGATGCAGGGCTCGATCCCGGAACCCTGGGATCATGACCTGAGCGGAAGGCAGAGGCTTTAACCCACTGAACCACCCAGGCGCCCCATGACTCTTTTTTTTTTTTTTTAAGATTTTATTTATTCATTTGTCAGAGAGAGAGAGAGCGAGTGTGAGCACAAGCAGGGGGAGTGGCAGGGAGAGGGAGAGGGAGAAGCAGGCTCTCTGCTGAGTGGGGAACCTGATGCTGGGCTTGATCCCAGGACCCCAAGATCATGACCTCAGCCAAAGGCAGATGCTTAACTGACTGAGCCACCCAGGAGCCCCAAGCATCTGACTCTTGATTTTGGCTCAGGTCATGATCCCAGGGTTCTGGCATCTCAGGGTCCCCATGTGGAGCTCTCCGCTTAGCAGGGAGTCTGAGGATTCTCTCCCCCCTTCCTCTACCCCTCCTCCCTAAAATAGTCTTTTTTTTTTTTTTTTTTAATGATGCCCAGGGATGTCAGTAGTCCAGTCTGTCCCTTCTGAGGCCCCAGACTGTTGCTTAAACATGGATCCTACGAGTAGGCGATAGGAGAAAAGGCTGAACTAAGGCCCTGCACAGTCCCAGTGAGTTATTATTTACTTGGCTGTTTACCCCACAAGACTGAGTCTCTGGAGGACAGGAATATGTCTTATGCATATATCCGCAATACTGCCTAGAACTATGCCTGGCACATAATTTTGGAAAGCTATTTTTGGAAAGCTTTGGGACCTGAGTCATGGTAGATGTCACTGCAGAAAACAATTTTGTTATTTCTATGCTTCATAAATACTTGATTGTTTTGGATACTTATGACTTTGTTTTGGCTTTCCAGAATGAAATATGATTACCAGTTTTTGAGCACTAACTATACATCAGTCATAATTGCCAAATACTTACATCTCATTTAACCCACAACAACTCAAATCATTTGGCAATAGGTAATAAGTTCAAAGAGTTTAAATAAATCACCCAGGTTTGCACAGCTAGTAAGTATCAAAGCCAAAATGCAAAGCCCAGGTGAGTCTGACCCTGAATACTGCGGTCTTAACCACTCAAACATGTCTACATGTCACCTGCTTCTGGAAAACCACAAGGAAAGCTCAGGCTCTGATCATAATACATGATGACTCAATCCAGAGTGAGATGGCTGAGGACAGGCTGTAATCAGTATCAATATTTAGCATTTTGAATGTCCACTGTTTTGATGACCCTGGTTATTTGAGAAGGAAACAACACTAACAACAAAATGTAGTTCTCGTTTACAGGAGTAGCTTTTAAGCTGTGACTAATCCTAAAGTCTACCCATAATTTGGACTGTGTTCTAAATCCCAAAAACTTCTACAAGGTATGGGGAAGGCTGATGTGCTCACACTGACTTGGATGAAATTAATTGAGACAGATTTGTGTCTATCCGTGTTTGCTGGTGACTTCCCAACTGGATGGATTTCAGTGGATCTCTATTGGGAGCCCTTAAAATAGAGCAGTGTATTTTGGTCGAAAGCAAAAGTTAGGGGCTTATATTAAGGGAGCAATAAAGTGAGTGAGCAGTGTTAAATGTCCCATATCCCTTCTTTTCTCATCTGTTCAATAAATATTAGTTTCTATTATTTGCTTGGCATTGTATGAAGCACTGTGGATATAGCAATAAACAAAGTAAACAGACAAAATTCCTCTAGTGGGAAGAGAAACAAAAAGATTATGTTTTACTTAAAACATAAGTCTGAGGTACCTGGGGTGGCTCTGTCAGTTAAGTGTTTGCCTTCAGCTCAGATCAGGATCCTAGGGTCCTGGGATCAAGCACCGCATCACCGGGCGGTTGGGGTGGGGGTGTGTGTGTGTGGGGGGTCCTTTCTCAGTGGGGAGTCTGCTTTTCCTTCTGCCCCTCAGCCCATGCCCACTCTTGCTCTCTCCCTCAAATAAATAAAAATAAAACACAAGTCAGATGGTAAGAAGTCTAATGAAGTTGGACAGGGAAGGGTACTGGAGAATTCTGGGATGTGTGTGCAATTTTAAATTCTTACACTGTGCGTTGCAATTGTGACCAGACATTGGCCTTTAGCCCCTCTCTCTTCCTGAGCATGCCACATAATGGCCTGGACTTGTGTCATATCCTGTAGGTCCTGCCTTCTGCACATGTAGTGTAAAACCCCAATAACCACTACTGGCTAGTTTCTTGCCGGCCTGAGTGGGCTAGATCTAATCGAGACTCTTAAATCTCAAGCCTAGAGGCGGGTATTCAAGTAATCTCAATCAAGTTTGGGGGAAAATAGGAAGGCAGGGTGAGAGAAATCAAAATAGGATTTCTTTAGATAAGATTACACAGAATTATCTCTCACTCTTCACCTCTGTCCTAATCTCTTGGGAAGTAGGAAGAAACAAACAAAAAAAAAAACAGCTCAAAGGCTTGGCAGGGCCTGAAGGTTGCTGGAAGGAGGTTCTGGGTAGATTATAATAGTTAAGGCAGAGGCAGACGTGGGGCACCTTTCTGGCTCAGTCAGAGGAGCGTGCGGCTCTTGATTTCTTAGTGGTGAATTCAAGCCCCAGGTCTGGTGTAGAGATTCCTTAAAAACAAACAGGCATAAATTTAAAAAGTTAGAGGCAGAAGAAAGTATAATAATTTGTCTAACGAATGAGGATATGGTGATGCCAAGAGGGGGTGGTAATGGGATGGCTGCTTTAGTCTCCCGTAAGATCCACCGGCTACTAATCTCCGATAACCGCCCCTACCCCAGCAAACCCAAACAGATTCTTCACAACTGACATTTTCTTAATCACGTGTGACGTGTGAATAAAATCATTTTCGGAGAACCTTGTTTTGTATGGACCTAACACACAGTTTAGTAGGTGTAGGGTGTGCTTGCAAAAGTACCTTTAAAGCAAGCCCCTGTAAACCTGACGTTTACAAAACATGGCCATGGCTTAGGCTGGACAGAGCCTGTGGAAGGAGTTTCACTGGAAGTTTTAGCTGTTAGAGTGGTGGTGATGGTCCATCACCAGGCTTGGCCAGGCATGCGATTATGGGGTGAAACTGATGATGATGGTGATGAAGTCACGTCCTCCTCTCGTTGTGAAGTCAAAATCGTTATTAAAAAAAGAAAACAAAAACCAGTGACGCTCACGTCACCAGGTTTGAGGCCTCCTTTTGGTTCTTTAGTCCTTAAACACCGAACCGTCAAAAGCGGCAGGTGGGGATTAGCGGCGGGTTATCCCAAGTCCTCCGCCCCCGGGCGGGTCTCAAGGCTGGATCTCCGCGGCTGGATCTCGGCGGGGCGGGCGGGCGGGCGATCCCCGGCCTGAGCCGGCCCGCCCCTCCCCTCCCTCCCCGGATGGCCTACTGGGAGTTGTAGTTCAGTCGTCGAACAGACGCGTCAAGCCCCTCCCCTTTCTTCCGCTTCCTTCCCGCCCCGGCTGAGTGCGCAGAATAGGGACCCGCAGGCGGGGCACCCAGAGAGCGTGGAACTACAATTCCCAACGGACCATCGCACCCAAGGCGCACTCCCAGGTAGCCCGCGGCCCGCTCGCGCGCTCCAGCGTCGGGCGGTGGCGGGATTTGACCCGTGCGCCTCCCCATCCCGGTCCGGCAAGCGCAGTGCCTGTCGCGGGGGGCGCGGTCTGTCGGGCCTCGTAGACCCGCCCTGTGTTCGTTCCCTCAAAGTTCTGCGTGCCCCTCCTTCTACCCAGTTTCTTCTAGAGTCCAGGCCCCGCCCGTTTCCCGCCTCCTGGGCCCGGTTCGTTCCCGACTCAGCCCGCCCCTCTCTGCGCCCCTGCTGCTTCTGCTGAAGGCGGAGGCTCCATGTTGTCCCCTCAGCGAGTGGTAGCGGCTGCCTCGGGAGGAGCAGGTGAGGCGCCCAATTTTCCCCGGGCCCGCTCCGTGGCCCCTCCGCCGCCCTCCCGACTCCTTCCGAGGGGAACGCCCGCCCGCACCGCCGCCCGTTCCTCGTCCCGGGGTTGGGACCCTGTGCCCCTCGCCGGGGTACTCTCGGCCCGCGAATTCGGGGCCGGGGGCTGCTAGCGAGGCCCGGCCGGCGGGGTGCGGGCGGCGCTTCCTTCGGCTCCGGGTGGGAGCGGCAGCTGTCGGAGGTCGGGCCGGGCGCTTGGGCCCAGCGCTAGGGGGAGGCCCGCGGTGCTCTAGGGCCGGGGGACGGGCGGGCGGCGCCCCGCAGTTGCGGCCCCGCCCTGGCGGAGCCGCGCGCTCCGGGGCTGCGGCTCCCTCCCGCCTGGCGCTCCGCAGGCTCGCGGGCCGGCAACCGGGGTCCCGGTCCTAGCGGGAAGGTAGATGCTTTACTTTGTCTTTGACAAAGCGCTTGACGGCTGCGAAGTGTCTTGGAGTTGGAAGCTTTATTTTTATCCTAACGACCTCGAGGCGCTGGCAAGCATTAGGAAAGTTGATTTTAAACCCGCACTTCTTTCCATAAACGAGATAAAAGAATGTGGCCTTAATGGCTTTTTAGGAAGTTCTTTTAGTACGTTTGGGATCGTACATTCTCTTGCTTTCCTGAAGACAGAAAGAATGGTAAAAAAAAAACCAAGTGGAAAGTCTTCAAAGATTGAGGGATACTTCATCTGTCATTTTACCTGGCTTTATTCTTGCTTAATGTGTGTGCTGTTGAAATCGCCAGAAGTTTCACTTGCGAAATCTAAAGGCAAAAAATGAAAACACTGAAGAATCTTAATAAATCTCAGCCCTCAAAGTTGAACACGAAGCTGGGTGGAATGATTTGTGAAAGGGAGAAAAGAACTAACGGACGAAAAACGCAGTTTCACATTTTGTCTTGCTTTTGGAGAAGCAAAACCTACGTGGTTTTAATCCATGTCAGGTGTTCAGTAGTGCAGTGAACTGAAATTCAAATTAGTGCTCCCCCCCCCCGCCCCACTTTCCATAGAAACTAGCTTGAAGTCTAGAAGTCCCTGTTTCTGTTTTACCACCTGTAAAGGAAAGGCTTGGATGAAAAGGATTTCTATGTAATGAGGAATTAACAGTAGGACAGCACGTTGTTTTATTAGCTACCGTTTACTCTCTCATTGGAGTAACCGTGAAATTAGGAAAAATGACAACAGGATAGATAGGTGTACTAGCATACTTTCTGTAGCTTTCACTCAATAGAAGTTGTTTAGAATAGGCTTTGTTAACTTGGTGTTCTATGGTGGAGCTCGTGTGTTTTTCATTTTTATGATTTCTAAATCTTAGAATAAAGGATAAATGCACACTAATTTAAAATGAGATAATAGAGAATTATAAGAAGCAATAAATTAATATAAAATTCTCTCTACCTCCCCCAATCCCCAGTGCTAGGTCACTTAACAGTTCGGCTACATATTAAGATTCCAGTGAAATAGGGAACCCCAGGTTGTGTGAACTTGTTGAGAACTAGAATTTGCCTATAATGCATACCTGTTAAAGTTTCTATGGCCTTGTGAACTGAGAAATTGTTCAAATAACAAAGCTGCATTTTAAAGTTAATCTAAATTTTAAAGCATTTTCCCAAGTTGTCTTTGAAGTTTTGGGAGTATATTCTTTAAAAAACATCAAAGGGGGAAAAATGAGGGGAAAGCTTTAATTAAAAGAAAAAAAACCTTTAGTTGGGCTTTTGGATCTGCATTCTGCTGCATGATTAGAATAACCTGTGGTATTTTAAACCTGACAGTGCATGGGACCCACAGATTGTGGTTTAATTCATTGTGTGGCCGGGCAACGTTAAGAAAAGAATCTTGAGTAATTCTAATTTGCATACTAATATAGAATAAAATTTCCCTATAGGTGGTTGCTTACATTTGAATTGATTTGTTTACTTAATAGGAAGTTTGATTTATAATATCAGTGTATTGAGAAGTTGATGCTCTTTGGAAATTTGTAAAGGATGCTTTTTATTAGCATGTATATTGAGAGAACTTGTTGATGTATTTCACAGCTAAAGCATATTAAAAGTTAGGAAATAGCCTTTGCTGGTATAGTCAGTGAAAAAAAACAAGATTAACTTTTTATGTCTTGAAATCATAAGGAATCCAAGTCAAATATTGACAATTAAGAAAGCCTTATTCATCTGGAACACAAAACCCTCAGGTAACCAAATGGATTTTGGTGATTTTTTTTTTAAGATTTTATTTATTTGAGAGAGAGACAGGGAGCATGGACTAGCACGCTTGTGCACACAAGCAGTGGGGAAGGGCAGAGGGAGGAGAAGCAGTCTCCCTGGTGAGCAGGGAGCCATTTCAGGGCTGGATCCCAGGACCCTGGGATCACGACCTGATCCAAAGGCAGACGCTTAACTAACTGAGCCACCCAGGCACCCTGATTTTGGTGATTTTTTATTTTTAGGGAAGAGTCAAATAAGATGAATATTGAACTCAGTCTATTAATAATTTTTTTTCTATAGCATAGCCTGGCATCATTTTTAGATTTAACCTAGTCTCTGCATTTCTGAATCTTAAGTACTGTTTAGTCATAATTGGTCTTTATAAATCCATAAACCACTACAAAATTGACAAAATGTGGTTTTGTTCAGCATTCTGTGCTAAAGTATAAAGATTTGTTGTGACACATGAATTGAGAAAAAGTTTCCTCTTAAACCCTTTAATTGATTCCAATGTAAATTTTCCCCATATTCTCTTCTGTTGGGTATAGGTAGTATTTTCATTGAAACAGCTTTAAAAATGTACGTGTATCTACCAGCATACTTACTGCCTTAAGACAAAATAGACTGTATAAAAGCACTCCCAACCATCAGCAAAATGGAACCACACCCAGCAGTTTGAGTTGGCTGAGGGCTTACCATCATATATGATGATGCGTTCTCGCTGGCCTTGCCTGAGTTAGGGACTTTAAAGACTGCCATCGAGAACAAGGCATGAAATGGTGTGCTTCTGGTTTTGGGTGTGTTCCTCTTGCCCTTTAGTAATGTGTTTCAAAAGGAGAGTGGAAAACTCAGGTCATAACTTTGCCCTGAGTCATACACTCTACTCAGTGAAATGTTTCTGAAACTGTAGTTAATATGCTCTTTGGAACTCTGAATAGTAAAGATGAGCACTGGGGCCGGCTTTGCCGTAGTGGTTCTTCACCTGGGGGGATTTTGCTGCGATGGGACATCTAGCAATATCTGCAGACATTTCTACCCCTTAGAACCAGGGGTAGCACTTCTGGTATCTAGTGGGTAAAGGCCAGAGTTGCTGCCAGATATCCTACAATGAACAGCCTAGCTAGCTCCTCACAACGAAGAGTTACCCAGCCCATGATACCAGTAGTGCTGAGATTGAGAAACCCTGGTCTGCATTGTTGAATTGATGAACTCAATTCTGTATGAATTTTCTGAAAAAGCAGTTGTACTTGCTTCCAGTTAACTAGTTTCATTGAGTTTATCACTGTTCAGATGGTCTTTTCAAATATTTGATGGGAATTTAAACTTTTTTCCCCTATAATGTTTTTTTTAAATTTTTTTTAATTTAATTTTTTTAAACACATAATATATTTTTATCCCTCCCCTATAATGTTTTTTAATAGAACTTATTTCTTAGAATGTATATATATATATATATATATTTTGTTTTTTAAGATTTAATTTATTTATTTGACAAGAGATCACAAGTAGGCAGAGAGGCAGGCAGAGAGAGAGAGAGGGAAGCAGGCTCCCTGCCGAGCAGAGAGCCCGATGTGGGGCTCGATCCTAGGACTCTGGGATCATGACCTGAGCCGAAGGCAGAGGCTCAACCCGCTGGGCCACCTAGGCGCCCCCAGAATGTATGTTTTCCATAGGACTGGAAAGGCTGATGATGATTCCGTAGTCTCAGTGACTTTTATTTAGCCTCTGCAGCTACTTTTGCATTTTTAAAATGACTTTTTTTTTTAAAGATTTTATTTATTTATTTGGCACAGAGAGAGAGATCACAAGTAGGCAGAGAGGCAGGCAGAGAGAGAGAGAAGGAAGCAGGCTCCCCGCTGAGCAGAGAGCCAGATGCGGGGCTCGATCCCAGGACCCTGAGACCATGACCTGAGCTGAACGCCGAGGCTTTAACCCACTGAGCCACCCAGGCGCCCCATGACTTTTTTTTTTTAAGATTTTATTCATTTATTTGAGTGAAGGAGGCGGCATAAGTGGGAGTGGCAGAGGGAGAGGGAATCTCAAGCAGACTCCACATCTAGTGCAGAGCCTGACATGGGGCTTGATCCTGGGACCCTGAGATTGTGACCTGAGCCAAAACAAGAGATGGATGCTCAACAGACTGCACCACCCAGGCGCCCCTAAAAGACTTTTTATTTTTATTTATTTATTTTTAAAAAAAGATTTTATTTATTTATTTGACAGAGAGAGAGAGAGAGAGAGAGATCACAAGGAGGCAGAGAGGCAGGCAGAGAGAGAGGAGGAAGCAGGCTCCCCGCCGAGCAGAGAGCCCAATGCAGGGCTCAATCCCAGCACCCTGAGATCAGGACCCGAGCTGAAGGCAGAGGCCCAACCCCCTGAGCCACCCAGGCACCCCAATCTAAAAGACTTTTTAAAAAGTAGCTGCAGG